TGACGATGTTGATTCCTCTAACTTCATTGGCTTCATCAGAACCATGCGCTCAGTGAACTGAACGGTCTGCATAACTGTAGTGTCTTCGAAGTCACTTATCAGAGGGTCGAATCGAGTTTCACTACTAAAAACAGACGGAAAAAAACTCGGAATGATGATCAGCTTTCGCTCTATTTTCAGTGAGATTTTCGCCTTCAGCAGTCCTTAACAATGGTATGAATTCCTTGTTACGCATGATGTGTTTTATGTAACTGTAGGACAGTTTAGGGTTCTCCGCGGAACGGTTAAGCAGATCCTGTTAAAATTCTCTTTTTATAAGGCACTGGACTCGATTTCTTTGACACCTCATCAGTGCTGTCTGGTGGCTTTGTAAGTACAAGCTCAAGGCAGCCGGCTTGCTGGTCTTCGCGTACTCTAGATGGAAACGTGACGCGTTGAGTGAGAAATAACTACACTGTCGTGTTCACAAAACTCCCATCGAAGGTCTGTTCTGAGCTATTTGCGTGGGCCGAGCTCCAGTCAATGTGAGGCGCGTTAAAGTCACCTGCTATCAAGATATCCGGCTGCGTAGCAAACATTTCGAGCTCATCCAGCAAGAGAGATTTGGCGATGTTGTCTAGTTTCGTCGGTCGATAGACTGTTGTAACGCCCCTGGACTTGAACAGAGTTGTTTGAATGTCGTGACACTTTTGGCGCGTGGACCTAGGATGGAGATGGCATAACTGCGTGCTGGCGAAGACGGCCGATGTCCCTTCCTCCCGTTACCGCCGACCCCCCTCCCGCAACGAACCGCCGCTCTCGACTCTCTCTCGCTCTCTCACTCAATGTCGGCTCCCCCGGTCCTTCCCTGCAGTTGCCCACAGCGCTGCATCCCCATCGGCTGTTTAGCTAGTACGCAGGGTCGTCTATCCATCCAGACAGGTCACCTATTTGCTGTTCCTCGTCGCTCGTGTACATTAACATTTGTTATATACATTCTTCATATCAGTTGTTCCATTACACTATATCCATACTCGACGTACTCTCTTCATCTGCGTGTGAACGAGTTTCGAGAGATGTTAACAGTTCTGTTCAGGTCCACCTCCGTCAGGATCTCTTCTCGGCGTTTCTTTATTCCGGTGTGTGCTACCCTTGACGTCATCGGCCGCTACACTGTTAGTACACGAAAATTTATCACTTTTGACCCATATTTCACCTACATGATTGCACATCCTCCCTGACGCCCTTCCCTGTCCTTCTAAACAGCTGGTAGCAAGGCAAGGATAACTCACGGTCGTCAACGTGTTGGATCAACCAAGTAACTGTGAAAGGGATTACGTCAGGGATAGATCTCAGAGGTGGATCTTCAGCTCGTCGAACTTTGATAGCAAACTCTGCACGCTGGTATGCAAGAAGTTTAATTGCCGCTTGATGGAAGATCTGGTTACATTTGGTTAGCACCTTCGTTTAATCTGCCATTCGGATCGGGCCTGTCCAAAGGAAAGATGACAGACGATACCTTACTTGATTGTTGTATATAACTCAATTGTACCCCCCCCCCCGCTGAGCCTCTTTTGTAGTTCCAGAACTTGTTGGCTCTCCAGTCGTTCCCATGGAGAGTAGTCTGGTTGAAAAAACACCTGGGTTGGAGCCTTTAATCCTAAATCGCCTAGAAGAAGTGAGCCTGGGAAGGTCGCTGCTGGCTAACACAACTTTGAGAGGCTGGGGACGTGTCGATTCTGATAGATTTTCTATCCGTTTTCGAAGGCGGAAGGCTTTGATCACTTCAATTGCCTCATTAGGATCCAAAATATTATTTGGGATATATTTGAAGAGGGGCAGAACGGAAGCTACGTTTGACGTTATTTTAATAAAAAAAAGGCTGCCTTTTTTAGTTATACAGCGACAGGCAGAATGCCGTGGCTGGAACTAAGCAATCTCACAAGAGGTTTGTAACTGTACTCGGAAGTGTGTATGTACAGCGGATTGCCTGATGATCAACTGATTTAGACTAAGTTTGAGTTAAAATAAACGCACTGCGTGTCTGATGACCTAATTGAGAAAGCGATAGAATTCTTAAACTCACTCATGGATAGTGAAGTATACCTCAGCACCTCAGTTCTACAGTATATTTAGAAAAATAGCGCACTGCCGCATTATCAACGTGAGTTAGAAAACGAAAATGAAATATAGGTGAATAGACTCAGAAAAGCGGATGATTATCTGGGTGGGGAAGTTATGAAAAGCACTTGTCAGATTTCATTAGATCGAGATTTCGGCGGGAAAAACGACGTGAAGATCGTAAACCGATGTAGTCTTGGCTGGCACGCTTCCCGTCGCCATTGGCCGATCACCTGGTCACATGCACTAAGTTGGCGGCCTCGTTAAAAACCGTATTGCGTCTTTCAGATTCGAGCGTTGTCACACTTGATGTGTCTGCGTGTCGTTTTTGCCAATACGATGGGCGGGAGTACACAATTGTGTTGTACCATTTGAATGAAATTCGTCAACATATCATAAGGAGGGGTGTACAACTGTAGAGGTCTAGACCAATTATACTGCAGTATAATTGGTCTAACTCGAAATGTTCTGTTAACTTTATACCTGCGTTGAAACGTTGTGGTGCCATAACCACGTCGAATGATATCCTGATAGTGATGAGGGCCTTTAGACAAAACCCAGCCGCTCTCTGGTGCATTCTTTTCATGGCAACTCTCCTGATAACCGCAATGTCCCTTTGCAACGTGTTCGCCAATTACACTACCTAGCGTTGCCTTTAATTCAGATAAATCAATGCCATTTTCATGATAATGTTAACAATAATCCACTGGCACCGCCAGCATCGCAATTTCACTACGTTCCACTGACTCGCTACCGCTCAAGCCTTTAAAAATACTGGTTCCTGATTACGCCACTTAGATTAAGCCTACAAACAGATGTCAGTTGTAGAAGCGGTGTGGGCTCCTACCAAACAGAACACAGTCGCCGTGGATTTTCATCTACCCATAGTGTTTAGATGGTTTAATAGTGTCTGTCCGTGGGTTTCGCCAAAAATACAACTGTACATTACAGAGACAAGAAAGTTCCTATGAAAATATGTAAGGTGAAGTCCGACGGTGAATTGCCATAGATACTCAAGGACTAGAAATAAATCCCAAACTAATGTGCGGAGTCCTAACTGATATGAGAACAGACTAGTTAATTCGGTTGGAGTCCAAATGAAAACACGCTCACATCCACAGGCATGAGAAAGAGAGCCAGCACATAACTGCGCTCGGAAATAGTAATGGTACCTGCACGCTGAACGATGCAGAGATTGCACGCACGCTCTATTGAGCGTTCTCGGACGTTCCGTGTGAACGACTAAATGTGTACTTCCGTCTATCCACAAGGTTCTTCAGAGTGGACGACCAAACACATCAGTTAACAGTATTCTATAAGCAGCAAATACATTTAGCCCAAAATAAGGTTGCAGAATCCACTGTTTCTCTCTATAAACTAATAGAAAAGCAGCGCGAGTTCCAGTGGATCCTGACTGCGGCCGGGCGTTAGTCATCGTGAAAGGGGCACTTTTTCAGCGCATCTCGCCCTCCCCAACTGTCGCCCTCTTCTGCCGGCAATACCCTTTCTGTGCGTTCTTAAAATCCACTGCCTCTTCGCCACGTGCTTCCACACAACCAATGACCATTAAATACCTGGTCGAAAGAGTTTGTCTGCATATCAGGGAACCCCTACCAATCACCGCCCGTAACTTCATTTACAGCCTGATGGTGGCTAACTACTTAACAAAATGGACCAAGACGGCCTCATTACTTCGCCAATGCGCAAACCCACTTTTTACCGTCATTACCCGTGAGTGGGTGTCTGTGGTGCGATTCCGTGGTGTGCACTTTGACTCTGGTGCGAACTTTAACTTCATCCTTCCAAGGGGTCTGTGGCCTGGGCGTTTACAATTGTACACACTATGCTCTGCCATCCAGAAAACGGGCTTATCGAGTGCAACGACCACAGCATCAAAAATTACTTGATTGCCAACAATGGCAACCGCATGCATGGTCGTAACGTCCAACGCCCCGTTGTCTTATAGCTTCCCGTGGTTCTTAACATGACTTTATCGGCTTGACCCCTATCTCGTCTCGATTGCTCGTAAGACATGACCCCCGTCTGGTTTTAGTTGCCCACCACCCACTCCCAGACTTCTGTTGGCTGTTTGCGTTCAACTCAGACAACTGATCTGTAAGTCACCTAGGTGCGCACACATGTTTTAAGGCAACTTCCTCTAGGTAGCAAGCTTAGCTTGACAGTCACCTCTTGCGAACCCCCTATCGGACAGGTGGCTTAGCTAACATTCCAACCCTAGCGCTCCGTCTGTGATTCTTGCTTGTTCCGCGGCCTCCCCTGTCATTTATGCCGTACTCTCTTCCACCTCTTTCACGGAGATGTCATACATACTCAATCCCCAGGTCTGTGGGATTCAAACCTTACTGTGACTGGCTCCGCACTTCCCCTTGGCCAGCTGCCTCGGACGCAGCGGGAGTTTGTCGTTCATTCCTTTACTGACAGCGGCGTTGAGGACAGGGCCGGACCATAGAATGGCGGGGCTGGGCAATATTGTGGAATGGCCACTCACATTGAAGCTTAGGACTGTTTGTCGATGTCCTATTGACTCTGAGCCTACCGGTCTCCATTTTTGATGCACCACTTTAGTTTGATTGTTGCCCTTTTGTTCCTGAATGTGCGTCCATCATTTCACTCTACAAAACTGGTGCCCCGTAGCGCTTTCTTTTTGCTTCTAGAGACACAAGGCCGCCTCTGTTTTGCCATTTCTGCCATCGGCACAATAAGCCATCTCTTCAGCCATAACTCTTACTTCTGAATTCTCTCTGCGATTACTCGTTTTTATGCCGTAATCTGATCAAACTCTAGTAGAAAGCTTCAGACAAAGAGGAAAATATCTATCGAGGACAGGATTTCTCTGTAGGAACTCGAAGGCACGCCCGGACAATACAAGATTCAACGCAATGCCGGGCTCGGTTGACGTCCATTTGTTACCTTGCTGTATTGATTCGGACGGCAGCTCCGTCAAAATTCCTGAAGCGTTTTCCTCACCAAGGTAGTCTACTCGTTTGGTCTCTCATTTTAAGTTCCCTACACTGCACAACCTTATCCTTCCTCCTGACCGACTAACCCAACTTCGAATCGCAGGTTGTTCCGGCCTGGGTATGGCCGGCTGATGACAGCCGCTAAGTCAAAGATGGTCATTCCGACTTCGTCTTTGTCGATGTTCCGTCCGCAAGCTATCCAGTCCGGAAAGCCAGTGGATCGGCACGCATCGCGTTCTACGCCAAATGCAGGAAGTGTGGCACTCAAACGACGACTTACTCAACAGGCATATCGACCTGTAGACGTTTTACCAAGCGCTGCGAGAATAAATCAATGGAGCAGCCAAATGTCACTCCCGATGATGTTTGGCGCATAGCCAAGTTGTACGCTCTCATTTGCTCTGGACGGTGAGCACGAGTGGGAGTGCGAAACGTACGTGTAATGTAATTTCGGACCCAGAAATCGTTTCCTCTTCTCGGACGAAGGAAAGGACGACCTCTGGAGAGGGTAGTTTGCCAATTTTAAGTCCCACATTCGTGATTGGACGCATCATCGAAGATCAACAATGTAGCAAAAACAGGGTTCGAATAGGTTCTCGCCACCCACTGGTGATCGGTTCAGTTGTCTCCTCATTTGTCCATCTTTCGCGCCCATGTTATGTCTGCCGGCTACGTATGGGGCCGGTAGCTCGACTACGGTTGATCGATTAGGCCTCGAACTGCCAGGCCTCAATTACTTTTTCCACCATTTTACCTTCGGCTCGCCTGCGTACATGTCTACTGCCCAAACACATCTGTGATTGTTCCCAAGATAGCAGACGCACGTCTTCTCGTTCCGATGTCAGGGCATTCCCATGCACACTCGTGCTCACCCGTTTGCCAGTCATACCACCAATGGCCAGATATTCTAGATGCTGGACGTGGTAGGTGACTTCCGACTTGCCTTCGGGTGATAGTCGGCCCGTGGACTACATGAGAGGCAAACAGCAGTAACCTCATGCCAGTGTCTGGGACCCACATTTAGTTCACTTAGTATGCGTTCTATGGTTCCGGGAAAGCCTCCCCCACGCAGAGCAAAGTACTGAATATCTTTGGACACCAAGCCGGGAGGCTCCGCATTCGTGCATTGACCTCTAAACACCCAGTGAATGAATTTCCCCGTTCTCTTCCTCCATTACGGGCCTGGAATGACAAGGGTGTCGTCGACGAAGCGCATCCAAAATACTTGGATATTATAGGAATGGATGACACGAATTGCGAGTTACAGTAGAGTAGTACCAGCGACATAACCGAAGATCGGAGGTTTCGTTGGAGTCCTTAGGTATGTTCGTATTTCTGGGGCATCATTCCCCGGAATGGATCTAAGACAAGCATACACGACAGGAATTAATGGTTACAACGGATTGTGTGATAGCTTATCAACTTCGACCCGTCGATGCATAGCAGATAAAGAATAAGAAACGTACAGAAACTTAGATTTGTACAGAAAATCAGTACGAACCAGCAAAGTCATTGTTTAGTGGACACAGGGTTACTAATGAGAATCGTAACTTAAGAACGCGGCCAGGTCAGTTGGGCATCTGTCCAAAGCAAGAAAATCCCTAGTTATTCCACCGAGAAACATCTCCTAGATAGCAGTCACTCCGTCGATCCCTCCGAGTACTTATTTTGGCACGAACAAGTCAAACACTGCGCTACCTGGAAGCAGCCTACATACGGCGAAGCCTGACCTATGCAAACAGCTAGACCACGTTGCCAACCTCAATTTGCCATGGTAATCTCGAGTTCTGCTATTTACGTACTTCTTCTAACGCGTTAACTTTCCCTCTTTTTTTCCCGAATTGCGTTCTCAAGTTGCCATTTTCATTGAATGATCAGTGTGACGTCCCACGCCTTTCCCAATAAGTATGTTCTGGATACGGTCTTGTGTTCTGAGCTCACCGTAAGCCTCAAACGCTTGGAAAGCCATTTAGCCACTCCATAGACCGGTGTGTTTACGAGCACAGCGATTGGTCGAAGAGACATTTGGTGTGTAGATTTCCGGCGAACCGCAAAGACGCGTCATGACCGCACCTTGTGGTCCTGCCTGCCACCAGGCGTTCTCTGACGTTGTGTTGGTTCCCCACAATATTCAGGCTTGCTAATTTCGCATGCCAGGATTTGCGCGGGGTCCGAATCGACGACTTTATGGATAATTATTGTTTGGCAACTCCCGTGCCTTTGATACATGTCCCGTCCGATCCGAGTTAACGTTTGCCCGTCATCTGTTCGCTGAAACGAGCACGTTTTCGCCATATCTCCTTCATTCTTCTGTGACCCTCAATTTGGCTACGAAAACCCGACGTGGCTCCTTCGGATTAATGACAGATAGCGAGATCGAGTTCTAAAGTACTTGTTTTCGAGTGGTTATTCCAGTGCGACGGCAAAGCTCACTTGGTAAACGCCGTGCATGCTTCAAAAATGACATGTCGCAACACAAGAACATGATTCAAATTCGTTTCTGCTTCCGTCAACACGCAGCTCAAATCGTAGCCGAACCACTACAAGAGTATGCTTAGCCGTTCTCGTTGCCGATGGCGGCATTACGCATTGCCGGAGAGCCCAACACTGATCCGGTCCAGTATGGTTGCACAAGCACATAGTCGTTTAGCTTCAAATGCGGCCATCCTTAAAATGCAGGTAACTGGGTGTTTCCTAGGTCACTAAAAAGTACTCGTAACGACCAAGTGATTTAGCATGGAAGAACCGACAAACATCCGCGCAACGTCTCCCCATTACATAGTGATCAAGTACTTTCCGCATAGATATCTCATACCTTCCCGTCGCGGGCTCCAATCTTCAGTGTGAACCAGATCAAGCAGAGCCTACCGAGGAACATCCCAAAGCACACAAGTGAAGCTTTAGCCTGACCGCTGCGAGCGACTGACATCACGAAGCTTGGCGCTGTCGGCGAAACGATAGTCCTTCCCCCCCGTTCCAGCATGCAGTACTCAGCTCCTTCCTGTCTCCGAACCGGTTAGCTTCCATAGTAACCATCAGGTCTACTGGTAGAGACTCGGACACAGGTGCCGCAGACGTCGTAACACGAGCCGAGACCCGTGATGGAGACGTTTACATCTGATTGGCGATCCAACTTGTTCCCCTACTACTCAGTTTGTGCCTTAAATGATGGTTTAGGCCGCAAGGGAGCGACGCCAGAAAGAACTTGTTTGACAGCGGCCCAGGCCTATCATAAGCTGGGTTCCCCGGAATCGAAGGCGAACAGCTTACCAACTTCGCTGTCTTGACTACCGCAAGCAGTAATTTAAGCACTTATGCCAGCGTTTTAGAGATAATTCCCCTATTCGATTTCAAGGTGTACCTCGCCCGTCGCAGTAAGCCACCTCTTCTTTCCTGTCATTTTCAGTTCCGATGGCGCGCTTACAGCAAACTTCAGAGGTCGTAAGCTCTTTGGGAACGAGTTTAAACCTCCAGACGACGTCGGAGCCTATGTCATGGCCTGTGAGGAGCACCTCCTTGACGAAGAACCAGCCCCAGTGTGCAACGTGATGCCCGTTGACAAGCTCGTAATATGGAACACCGATGCTCCCTGCGATGCTGAAGAGAGGCTCCATGCCGCTCTCTTATGGACAAAACTTAACTCAGCCATGAACAGAGACTAGGACCTTATATATTGTACGTGTTGTCTCCTATGAGGGATTATTTTTACAATAAAAATTTTCCAGCCGGTCTGTGACAATGTCAATTAAACGAGTGCTCCTGTAGTTGCGCAATTTGGATTTCCCGCAGCTTCTGTGGAGGCCCGATACTAGATCGGCTAAGAATGACTAGAGTTGCCCCTAAATAACAAAGGGCGGAGCGCTACTTAAGCAAACAGCTGGCTCTTGTCAGGGCGTCAACTATTTGCTCAGTGAGGTAGCTATTGTAACCTACCTCGTCGGGTCGTTATATTCTTCTCTCACGAGTCCCAAAGAAAGAGGTGAGACTTGTCGCCGGTAACAGAGAGCGTTTCTGGCCGGCCTTACTAACTACGTCACGTGGAGGCGCAGTGCTCCAAATTGGAGAAGTTGTAGAACTCGGGCGCATCACACCAGCCAGCTTACTGGCGTGGACCCGTATCTGGAATTATGGCCCGGTGTGACCAAGGCCCCGACGACCTCGTTTCTCATTGGGATCCACGGCCCACTGACGGATGGCGGCTGGGTTGCTTCACAGTAAAAGCTAGTCGTAACAACTGCGCGAACGGCTTTGTTTCGCCGTATAGAAGGTCATGGGCGACCTTCTGGGACAGTGGCGTTTGCCGTAATTTTGAGGGTGCGCTGCTTTGGGTGTTAGGACACATTCATTGTAACCGTCACAATCAGACCCAGGTTCCTCCTAACAGTACAGCAGGAGAACTCGTACAGAAAAAAAAAACTATCCTACACTGAGTGGCCGGGGCACGCTCTCAGTAGGCAATGTGCGCTTGCCTGCTGTCTGGGGACGCATGCCTAGGCTCCACTGTCACCTGGTGGGCAAACAGGCGATGGCGTCACGCCATGTAGGGTCATGCAATTGCATGGCCATCGACGTTCGTCAGTCACGGGACAGACCCAACCAAGTCTCGCCACTTGTTTTTAAAGACAAGAGTTTGGGACAAATCGGTTCCACCTCTCCTTGCAGCAGTTGATCAACGTCCAGTAGGTTTGAGTGGCCGAAGTGACATTTTGGGGACATGCCTATGAAATAGCACAGGTCCGGTAAGTCCTTAGCACTTAGCAATGGCAGACCTTATGGTCTTGAACCACCCCACGAGCAACCATCCCTTGACGAATCCGCTCGTTACGCTGTGCCTTCTTAGTCAGCGTCTAAATTTTATATCAGATTATGCACTTTTGAAGTCCCGGAACTGCATTTTCCAAGCAAATGTGCGCTTAGCAACCTTGTGGTCAGGGAAGGTGCTGACTATCTTGACAGTATGACCATAGCTGGAGTCGAATGTGAAGAGATTGGTTCAGTTGACGTCACGTACCTCAAGGAGGTCTTTTTATTAATGGTGCTTTAATATCCGGCAGGTCGGCCCTGAAGAGTAGTTTGCGGTCCGAAAATCACGTATCCCAACCATGCAGGTGAAATGGTGTTGACGTGCTCCGAAACACGCCTGCGCCCCCTAGACACGCGGTCAGTATACCCGAAGGCAAGAGAGTATCTTGACTTCTGTACTCGGATATTCCTGTTGTGTTCGCGTAAATGATGGGGCTCCTTGACTAGTCGATGACATCTGCAACTTTCTGTCAAGCACCTAAATGAGCAGACGATGTAAAGGCGACAACTAGCGCCAACTCAGTCAAAAGTACGCCACTTCTGGCTCACTCGCTACCTCTGACACTGTCGTGCTAGCAGGCAGAAGACCAAACTGAGAGCACTTAAGGCTTCTGTCGAGACAATTCTGCAGAACGGACGAGACAGTCCTTTAGTGCAGAAGATACGTGCTACCTGAGAACGTCTTATCAATTATTAATACGGTCAGTTCTCTGAGGCTGCCCATCCAGCGGCGTCTCTGAAGGACCGCGCAGTCGGTCATAAATCCCGACCAACCAGCCGGGCTCTCCACACTTGTTGGCTCATCCGCGTGTCGAACCGATCTGGGGGCAGTTGTCCATGAAGCCATATTGTTCACGCCAGGTGGCAAGCTGAGTGCGTTAACCAACATGATGAACGCTGACCTCGAACACACACCTGATCCTACTCTTTGTGCTTAAAGTACAAGCTGGCGCAAGTCTGATGTCGACCGACTACAATAGGCCATTTGAGATGTCAAGGTGAACCCCATCACAAGTAGAGTAAGTGCAGACAGTGTTTGATTAAATAAAAGTGTGGTCGAGTTGTGTACACAACAATTCTAAAAGGTATGATGGAATCCTGGATTTAGCAGGACTAAATGGCAAAACGCTAAAAAGGGACATCTCAAAGTTGGAAAGCCACAATTGTCTCGCCTGAGATTGATAGCAACGACAGAATGCGTTTCCCTGAGAAAGGAAAGAGGAGCAGCGTCCTTAATTTTCCTTTGTGGGCGGCTCCACTGTTTCTCCGTTGACAAAATCCAAAGATCCGTCAGCGAACATTATAACAGGGATGTCCCGATGGTCAGAAGTCGGCGGCAATTTCTGAAACGTGTGTTTCGAAGACGAAAAAAGGAAATGGCTTACACTTGTGTATTCGGCTCGTGCGTAAGAATGATACCTCGGTTCCTTGTCCCAGAAAGGGAGGCTAAAACGACTCGAGTGAAGATATGACAAATTACTTTATGGCGGGGTTGTAGAGCATGCAGTATATCCCATAACCGATCATTGTAGCACACCCAGAACCAACGAGCACTATCAGGTAAGTGACCGAATACTGCTTGACAACGAAGTTTCGTAATGTGTGGCTGCTGTATCTGCAAACCGCTCCGGTTGAAATCAGCTGTTTACATTTGGTGGCTCTGCAGAAGGTCCACAGGCTCAGGGGCAATTTTGAAAGTACCATTTTGTTGGAAGGTAAAACTGAAGTGATAGGTCAAAACAATATTTGAGCTCAAGTTATTTTGAAGTCGAGACATAACCGTGGAAGTAGTCAACACCTCCGCGCAAAAGTTGAAGACAGTTTTGGTAGAGTCCACAGTTCGAGGTCTAGCTACGTGGTCTAATGATTCGAAAGTAAGCCAAGTACGGGGGCGTGCAGACTGACAACACAGACAAGATGTGTACGCCAAGGATTGTCGGGATTTAAACCTGGGGAGGTTCGCCAGAAATAAAGCAAAGATTCATGAGTCGACCGCCACATCGAGACTAGACTACATGCGATGGGGCCATTCCTATGCAGCATTATGTGGATCATATGTAAATCGATTGTTTCAAACCCAACTCCACAGTAGTTGCTGTGCCTAGCTAGACATCAAAAGGTGGTTCATCTGAACTCCGGACGACCGCCACATGAAGGTCACATCGGAGTCGGCACCCCTGCCTCATACCGGCCGCAGAAAAGTAAAATTCTGCTCCTTAAAGTCCCCTTTCAAGGGGACGCGGTGATTGAGCTCCTAGGAAGGCGCCAAGCCGTTTCATGGACCTTCCGGGCGGCAAGAGTTCAAGTATTGTTTTCGACCAACCCCGTCTTACGCGGGTAAGGTAAGGATAGGCCACCAGCTCAGACTACCTTCATGTGCATTTACTCCTTGCTCCTGTGGAGCAGGCTACATTGGTCGTACGAGTCGGCGTCTATCCGCAAGAATATGAGAACACCTGCCGGCATGGCTGAGGAAGGGTGAAGTTAAGAGCATACACAGCTCCATCCTCGCATACATGGATGATTCTGGGTATCGTGTGGATCCCAACGAAGCCTTCCGCGTGATTTACAGTGTCCCACCTAACTACCCTAAGCGACTGGGTCAGCGCTTACTAGTAACAGCAGAGGCAACTGCACGCTCCGCGTCTGCTGTGGGCCAGGATCGATTAACTGTATGCAGGTCTCCGCGCCCCCGTTCCCCCTTGTGACACGGCTCAACCTAACCCTCACTGTCACTGACTGTCTTCTCTCCCACCTCCCCCCTACTTTATTCACATACCCCGTTTGTATGAAAGGACGGACCGTAATCGATTGCACTTATCACTCACGTTCAGTTGGTACCTCGTTCCCATATAAATGTACAGGCCAGCTGTGAATTTATCGAAAGTACGCGTAAGCTTGCCAAATGCTCTTCGGAAATGCTCCATGGGAATTTTTGTAACCCTAGCAATACTTATACGGCTGGGCGCACCTAAGATAGATCTTTCCCAGATTCGCAATTCGTGTACAACTTAAACGTTTCGAAGGAAAATTAGTGGTTTCCAAGTAGGTCTGTTAAACTGACTGCAATAAATTGTACCCACCCAAGATCAGGGCTCTCAAGTCGAAATGCAGGGAGCCAACTCCCACTTTGCCCTCTATTCCAGCGGCTCATGCGACTCCTGGTAGACATGATGTTACGGGTAGTCTACCTGCAACTTTACGCGGTAACCAGTCAATGGTCAGTGAACTTCCGCACGAATGAAGGGGCGCTTCGCTAACATCTCTGTCTTCCACGTCTACGTGCGAATATCAAGTGGCGAGAAGAGTGATAGAGAAACCCATGTTAAGCTGCAAGAACTGGCTGAAGGGTTCGCTCGCCCTGTACTTCTCATTGTTCCTATAAGCTGGAATGGTGAGATAATGTTGAACTTTACTGATCAACACGTGCTCCCGGCACTACTGCACGGTCAGCTAGACGGACTACATTATAGCCAGTTTAAGATTCCGTGTCTGGCTTCATGACAGCAGACAGGTGTGTGGCGTAGAAACTAACAATACCTGTAGGTCGCGATAGTTCGACCGTCACGAGCGACGACGGTTATCGTGTGCATCATGGAGTGGACTCAGAATCCGTGGTTTTCGCGCAAATTATTTTATAGTGGGGCCGACTTGAGTGGCATCTGCCAAGCTCTTCCCCCCCCCCTCACCCACAAGGCTCTGATGGCAAGGTAATGTCAAGACAACCGGAGGTGTGTTCAGGGGCAGTGGTTGACAAATCTAAACAGCCAGTCTACGCATGCCATACACGACCGGGTTCCCCTACGGTTTATCAGATTTTCACGGAAGGGGGCGAACCAGGCCTCGCGTGCGTCAGAACGTTACAGAGTACAAATTTAAGCAGAACCATAGAACCTGACTCCCCGCCCCGACTGTACGAGCTCGCAGGCCATCCGATGATGGAATTAGACACAGTGGCTGGCGCAGCGTGGAGCCCAAACCGAGGTGTGCCACCACATGCTGGAACTCTGTGAAACCTAGTTAACCAGTGCCGTGCTCAAACCTGGTCCCCCGCTCTGGTCTAACGCATCTTAAGCGCGGCTCCTGTTGGGGATTACAGTCGTCCGAAGAGTGCAGCGCGGCCGAATAAATGAAAATGGCCTACTTTTGTGATTCCCGGCACTTTTCGTTATCTACCTAAGATGCCTGAATGTTGGTCATGAGACCAAAAAGCAATGAAATTAGCAAACGCCTAAATAAATCGTAACATACAATACTTATGCTAAAAGTGGATGTGCTCTGTGTACCACTTACACTCGCCACTACTCACTTAGTCCTGGGAGGACCCAGGACAGTGAACTGGTGGCAGCAGCTCTTTTGTATATGTTATACGTTGATAGTGTTGCTGTTTCCCGTCCCAGTTTGTGTTTCGCGCTAATTCTGGCGCGTATGAGCGTAATACTGTGTGAGTGACCCTAGGACGAGCGACGCAGAAGATTCGACCAAAACGGATTTCAGCACGCACAGGTAAACCAGACTGTACTGGGCCCGCGCATCCCGTAACAAATGCCCAGGCGCAGGCCCCACACCTCGTCAGCCACTTGCGCCCAATCCCAGCACCGCACTGTTGACCGACTCGGACAGCGGACTGGTGCATGGGGGAGGGGAGAGTGAGACCGACACCACTGAATCCATCCTCACGACACTTCGGCACATTCCTCACTACAAAAAAGTTGACGAGCTTTGAAGCTATCATGACGCGTTAAAAGTCCTGGCTAGGAAGACTGCCAACTGGCAGGATAACTCGGTACACCCAGGACGCAAAACCAGGCCCAATGATTTCTTCTGAGTATGGCCTCCATGACACTTGGATAGAATCATAGCCGTCCACTTGTTTCTGTGAGAACCTGGTCCATCGTGCACGGACTAGGTCATGTGCGGCATACGTAGACGACTGTTTAGGTTTGTTAGCTTCTGCGTCTAAACCCGCCTTCGACTGTCCTGACTTTATCTTGCTACTGGGCTCAGAGGGTCGAGGAGTAGTTTGCGGCAGATGGTGCGCCAGTCTGCTGTCACTATGAACTAATTCGCATATAAGCCACCGTTCTGCGTCCACCACGCTGTGGGGAACAAGGTAGACACTGTTGTATGCGACGGCGGAACTGATGCGTGATGTAACTCAAATTCACCCACCACTAGCATTGGCACAAGGCTTTTAACCACAGTAGGCGCATCCGGGGACCTCTGTGTCCGACATATCTAAAGAGGATTCACGACACAGGAATTGGGAATAAAAGTTATACTTCCCTCTAACATCGCTGGTGTGTGTCAGGTAGATTATCGCGCACGTGCGGTCCCACATGAAAAACTAACGCGTAAACGAAACTAGGTGTATACCCTAAGCATTCATGGCAGTCATTGCGTTGTCCAAATCTCACCTACAACGGTATTTAGACGTGCAAGTAGTGACATCAGTGAGTTTAACTTTAGCCAGTCTTGTGGTTGGATGAAAAGAAATACACACGATGGTCCGAGGCAAGGTTAATTACGATGTCAAAAAAGAAAGAACAAGGAACCTCAGATGAGTACCACTGGAGGTTGTATGGCAGCC